CTAACACAGACATAGGAAAGATACTCTCAGCTGCTCCAATAAAGGTTGAGATTAACACTATGAATCCCTTGCTTAATGTAAAATAATAGCCACTATGGCAAGAAGCCTTAGGTGGAGTTGCCCCAATCATGAGATTATCTTGAGAGAAGTTTTATTATTCCCTGCACCAGTCCCTGCAACAGCCCCATTTTCCTTGTCAGAGAACCAAATGGGAAGGGGATGGAGATTTGTACAGAACTTAAGGGCTGTAGACGGTATTATAATACCTAGATATCCAGTGCTTCTTAACTTTCATACTTCTGTGTGCCATACCAAACATCAATGACGATAGTGTTCTTTTTTTTTTTTTTTTTTGAGACGGAATCTCATCTGTCCCCTAGGCTGGAGTACAGTGGCACAATCTCAGCTCACTGCAGCCTCCACCTCCCGGAATCAAGCGATTCTCCTGCCTCAGCCTGCCAAGTAGCTAGGATTAAAGGCGTGCACCACCACACCCGGCTTATTTTTGTATTTTTAGTAGAGACAGGGTTTCATGATGTTGGCCAGGCTGGTCTCGAACTCCTGACCTCAAGTGATCCACCCGCTTCAGCCTCCCAAAGTGCTGGGATTACAGGTGTGAGCCACTGTGCCTGTCCCTGACAATATTTTTCAGTTGTGGGTCTCTGTAGTGCCTTTTTAAAGCATCCCTATACATCCAGGTAGTCAGTATTTGTTTGCCTTTACCTGGAGAGAATGATGGGATACTTGGACTGTGATGTCACAGCGATATACAGTGCCTCTTACTTTTCCCAAATACTGAAATACGAATTTAGCAGACTCAGACTTCTCTCAGGGGATCCTCATCCCTCATCCAGTGTGTGCATGACCTCCTCCTTTGCTCTGACACACTTTCTTCCTCTGAAGAAGAAAACTTGTACTTACTTCAGCAATTGGCCATTACAGGGCACAAGGTGTCTAAGAGTAAACTTTAATTTTGTCTTTCTCAAGTCAGACATGTGGGACATGTCATGTCAGCCAAAGGATTGAGCATCAATCCTGATAGAATCAAAGGAATCTTAGCTTTTTTGATGCTTACTACTAAAAAATAGCTTAGAGGGTTCTTGGAGTTGGCTTGCTATTGTAGAAGCTGGATACTAAATTTTTATCGTGCGACTCAACCCTTTTATATCTGTTTAAAGAATGACCGGCCTGGTCCCATCATGTGGACTCGTGAGGGACAACCAGCTGTGCAACAAATTAAAGAAAGATTAGTAGGCCAGGTGCGGTGGTTGATGCCTGTAATCCCAGCACTTTGGGAGGCCGAGGCAGGCAAATAGTTGTGGCCAGGCGTTCAAGACCAGCCCGGGCAACATGGTGAAACCGTGTCTTTACTAAAAATACAAAAATTAGCTAGATATGGTGGCAAAACGTCCATAGTCCCAGTTACGTGGGAGGCTGAGGCAGGAGAATTGCTTGAAGGAGGCAGAGGTTGCAGTGAGCTGACTGCCTTCCAGCCTGAGTGACAGAGCAGGAGTCTGTTTTTTAAAAAAAAAAAAAAGGCCAGGCGCGGTGGCTCAAGCCTGTAATCCTAGCACTTTGGGAGGCCGAGACGGGCGGATCACGAGGTCAGGAGATCGAGACCATCCTGGCTAACACGGTGAAACCCTGTCTCTACTAAAAAATACAAAAAACTAGCCGGGTGAGGTGGCGGGCGCCTGTAGTCCCAGCTACTCAGGAGGCTGAGGCAGGAGAATGGCGTGAACCCGGGAGGCGGAGCTTGCAGTGAGCTGAGATCTGGCCACAGCACTCCAGCCTGGGTGACAGAGCGAGACTCCGTCTCAAAAAAAAAAAAAAAAAAAAAAAAAAGATTAATAAATGCCCCAGCAATAAGACACCCAAACTATGAACTTTCTTTCTCTTCATGAAGATGGGGAAACACATTTGGTATGTTGACTCAAACATGGTGACCAGCAAAGACCTATAGGCTATTATAGTCAGCAGTTAGATCCAGTGACTCGAGGGCTGCCCCCTTGTGTAAAGGCAATATCAGCTACAGCTCTTCTCTATAAAATTGTTGGAGAGACAGTCTTGGGGTCCCCTCCCTTACTGCCTTCATTCCACATTCAGTTGAGCTACTTCTGAATTCTCATCATAACTTAACACTTATCTTTCAATAGATTGACTTCCTATTAGGTCTTAATTTTACTATCCTCTAATGTTACTGTCTCTTGTTGCAATGATTCTAACCTGGCGCCTCTCTCTCTCTCTCTCTCTCTCTCTTTTTTAGACAGGGTCTTGCTTTGTCACCCAGGCTGGAGTGCAGTGGCATGATCACAGCTCACTGCTGCCTCGACCTCCTGGGCTCAGTTAATCTGCCTGCCTCAGTCTCCCCAGTAGCTAGGACTACAGGTGTGCACCATTGCACCTGGCTGATTTTTGTATTTTTTGTAGAGACAAGGTTTACCATGTTGCCCAGGCTGGTCTCGAACTCATGGGCCCAAGCAATCTGCCCACCTTCAGTGGTACTTGTGGATCTCTGTAGTGCCTTTTTAAGCATCCCTATACATCCAGGTAGTTAGTATTTGTTTGCCTTTACCTGGAGAGAATGACGGGATACTTTAAATGTGATGTCACAGGAATATACAGTGCCCCACTTACTTTTCCCAAATATGAATTTAGCAGACCACAAAGTGCTAGGATTATAGGCATGAGCCACCGCACCAGGCCTGGCCAGTCTTCTGACAAGATCTCTCATGACTTCATCCTGATGACATACCCAACTTTTTACCCCAAGGACAGACCTACAAGAATCACCACTAGATAATGCCTAGACAGAATGGTTTACAGATGTATCTTACTTGAGGGGAGAAGGTAGTAAGTTTAAAGCAGGATGTGCCATGGTCATTGAAGCTGGTCTTCTTCAGGCTAAGTCAGCCCAACTGGCTGAACTGATTGCCATGACTCAAACTTGTCAACTAGCAAAGAATAAAGTGGCAAAAATTATGCCCCTATGCATCCAGTGGTGCTCATAACTTGGGAATGCTATGGAAAGAGAGAGGGTATTTAACCTTCTCAGGGCAACCCATAAACAATGGACTAGTCTTGGAGCTTGCTTTTGGCAATTATAAAGGTTCCAGGCCGCTCTGAATTAGACACAACATAGAATCAAGGTAGTCAATTTGCTGATGCAGTAGCTAAGAGAGCTGTGTTTGAGACACCAGTCCGATCCTTGGAATGACTGTGAGACTTAAACAGTTAAGTCTACGCTAAAGGAAATCCAAGACAGCTTCCACCGAAGAAAGATCTACCTGGAAATGAAAGTGGGGGTACTTTTTCCCCCAAACTGAACTATGGTATGGACCTAATGATAAACCCATCATCCTAGTGGGGTGTCAGATGCCCTTCATGGAACACATTTACAGCTTGACCCATTGGAATTCAGATAAAATGATATCCTATTATAAACAATATTATTGGAAACTGTCATCATGGCACAGAAGATTGATTCACAATGTACCATCTACCCAAAACACAATCCTGGAAAACCCCTTTATGGGGCTCAGGGTCATTTTCTTTTTCATTATTTTTTTTTTTTTGAGACGGAGTCAAGTCTCGCTCTGTCGCCCAGACTGGAGTGCAGTGGCGCGATCTCCACTCACTGCAAGCTCCGCCTTCCCGGGTTCCCGCCATTCTCCTGCCTCAGCCTCCCGAGTAGCTGGGACTACAGGCGCCCGCCACCGCGCCCGGCTAATTTTTGTATTTTTAGTAGAGACGGGGTTTCACCGTGTTAGTCAGGATGGTCTCGATCTCCTGACCTCGTGATCTGCCCGTCTCGGCCTCCCAAAGTGCTGGGATTACAGGCGTGAGCCACCGCGCCCGGCCTATTTTCTTTTTCTACCTAGACCTTTTGAGATGTGGCAGCTTGATTTTATCCAGCTGCCACCATCTTAAGCATATAAACATGCATTGGTAATGACATGCATGTCTTTGCATTGGGTAATGCAATTGCCCATCCTGCTGATGGTCAATGGTAGTGGGTAAAATCTTATTAGAAAGGATTACCCCATTGTGGGGAGTCCCCTTTTGAACTTCACAGCAGCAGGGGAACTTATTTTACTGCCCAGGTCATGGAGCATTTGTGAAATTTGGGGCTGGGCACAGTGGCTCACGTCTGTAATCCCAGCACTTTGTGAAGCTGAGGTGGGCGGATCACCTGAGGCCAGGAGTTTAAGACCAGCCTGGCTAACATGATGAAATCCTGTCTCCCCTAACAATACAAAAATTAGCTGGTCATCGTGGCGCATGCCTGTAGTCCCAGCCACTCAGGAGGCTGAGGCAGGAGAATCACTTGAACCCGGCAGGCGGAGGTTGCAGTAAGCCAAGATCGCACCACTGCACTCCACCCTAGGTGACAGAGCGAGACTTGATCTCAAAAAAAAAAAAAAAAAATTGGCCTGTATTTCAGTATTTTGATTGTGCCTACTACCCTTAGTCCTCTGGATTGGTAGAATGGAGCAATGGAATAATAACACAATTGGCTAAGTCCCTGGATTGGTGCAATGGACCAATGGAATAATAGAAAAAATTGGCTAAATTTATGGAGGCTTTTCGCCTCTGCTGGCCGAAGGCACTTCCCTTGGTATTGTTCAACCTTTGATCCATCCCTTTATCAGCTCTCTTCTCATGAAATTGTAACTGGAAGACCCAGGCACGTGGGAATCAAGATGACTGATCCAAATTTACTGAATGGGGACATCTTGCACTATTTTAAGGGACTCATTCACCAACTCATGAAAAGGCAGACCTTAGTGCAAGACACGTCCCACAGTGTACTCCTGGGAGATGAAGATTCTGGTCATGACCTCCAACCTGGAAGTTTTGTCTGTTGGAAAAGACATCTCATAAAGGACTCCCTCCAGCCTTGGTGGTGGAGGGGCCCTTGCCAGGTACCGTTGAGTAATCCATGCACAGCAGAGTTAAAGGGTGTAGACTCACGGATCCATATCTCTCACCTTAAAAAGGCACAACTTCCTGAATGGACCATGACTCCCACCAAAGATCCCTGTCTCTGATTCACCAAACAGCTTCAACCCTGAAACCAGGACGAGAAGTTGACAACATCTGAGTGGACAGCTAATTGACCCAAGACTTCAGAGCAGGCCTGTATGATCTCCTGTCTAAACATTCTTACAGTATTATATTTACTTTGGGGACTATTGGCCTTGTCTGCTTTGACTCAGATTATAGGATATATAACCTGGTTAATGTTTCCATACACATGATGGCCACCAATATATATATATATACACTTGACTTTTCAGGGTCTCTGCTGGTGATGGAAAAATAGTTCATGAGCTAAACTTTTCCAAAGTGTGGCAGATAGAGGCAGTCTCTCAGATTGCTGGATTTTGTCACCAGCTTCCTAGGGCCATTCAATATCATTACATACTACTTGTTGCACCTGTGATTGATTTTTCTGACACTCCAAATGTTACCATATACTTACACCAGTTCTCTCCAAGTGTCCCTTTCCAAATTCAAATTCAGCTTCTAAAGCCAGGCCATATTTTCATTCTGTGCTTAATTATATCCCCTAAGTCTCACCCCTTCCCACCGCCCCCAGGCCTGTCTATCAGGAAGCCAATCAGGGACAAATTCTCTAACTTATCTGGAACACAAACTTAATTCCTCATCTTTTCCAGGCTGCTGTCCCTGCACATTCCTGGCTTCCCACCGTTACTGTCATAACTGGCAACTGAATGTCCAAAGGAGAAAAAGCAAAAGCAAATTGTGCCAGCACGTCTTGTTTGTTATGTATCATGCTTATGCAGGCTTTTGTAAGACCTGCAGTAAAACCAATCCATGGCTCACTCATGTTTTAAACAACTTACCCATGAATGAATAGTTAATAGATACATTTTGGTAGGTGGCATTGGGCCACACCCACCAACCCAAGGATGGGCACATAGTGTAAATAACTGGCAAAATAGCTGGCAAATTGAAAGGAGCCTTTTTTTTTTTTTTTTTTTTTTTTTTTTGAGGGAGGGTCTCGCTCTGTCGCCTAGGCTGGAGTGTGGTGGTGTGATCATGGCTTACTACAACCTTGACCTCCCTGGGCTCAGGTGATCCTCCTACCTTAGCCTGTCGAGTAGCTGGGACAAGGAGTCTGTGCAGTAGCTCACACTGCCTGCTGCACTTACATCAACACCTCAGGTGAAGTAGAGACTTGCATAGAAAGAATTTTCAAGCAAGCTAAATGGTTACAAGGGGCACAAACTACCGATCTTCTCAATGATCTGTTTAATTGGCTTCCTATTTCTTCCAGTCTGCAATTCAAACCCTTTTTCATGGGTAAAGTACCAATGTCATAACAGGGTTGAGGGAGGTGCATCTCACACATGTGTGAATGTCCAGTCATCACACTTATAAATGACAGAAGGATCTCAAACCTTGATATAATCGTAGTGTCTATCCTATTTCTCTTACTATCAGTTAAATTACTCATGGTATTTATAATCAACCTACGTAAGTCTATTGCTAAAACCAGAATTATAGGCCAGTTGCAGTGGCCCACACACTAGCACTTGGGAGGCCAAGGTGGAAAGACTGCTTGAGGCTAGGAGTTTGGGACCAGCCTGGGCAATGTAGTGAAACCCTGTCTTAATTTAAAAAAAAAATTAACACCCTCCCCCCCATTTTGGTAGCACAATGTAGATAGAATTATCCTGTAAGCGTAGTAGCAGATTCCACTACATACCCCTGGAGTGTCTGCCTCAGGCCTACATCAACCTCATCTCACTTCTTTCCCTCCAACGTGGGACATGACTTCCTGGGAAGACAGAAGGACATAAAGTATGATCATTTGTGTTCTCTAAAGAGAAATTTTGATCAAAAGGGGGAAAATGGAAATACAAGGAAAAGTGGATTGACACAGCCTCTTCTAAATATTTGTTCTGGCTGAAGAATGTATATGTGCAAAGGCAGCTATGTCAGTTAGATCATTGTTAGAACCTCCCATAAATGGGCATGTTTTAACTGTAACCCCTCAAATCTTGAAAAACATCTTGAAATTTTTTTTTCTATTTCAAGGACCTTAAGAAAACATATTGTAGATAGACAGATAGATGATGATGATAGTGTCAGAAGAAAAGAGAAAAGTGAGACAAGATGGCTGCAGTTTGGACATATGGGTAATAAAACCATGGCCTATTTACTGAGGCTGACCCTTTGTGCATTTGTAACTGGAGTTTGTTAAATATTTTACTAACAGGTACTGGTTGTAAACTTGTGTGTCAGATATAGAACAAAGGCAGGATGGAATCAATCATCCTTCCGCCAGACCCTGAGATGCCTACGCAATTATTAACCTTTCTCTCCTACCCACTCAGCCACATACTTACTTTACCTTATGTGTAACATCACTGAATACCAATCAAATCGACAAGAATGTAATTGTTGCTTCACTGTACTGCAGGTATCCCCCTGTTTAAAAAAATGTATGAATACCATGCCTCATGTAATCTTGCTTTGAAACACAGGTTATAAGCTATTGGAACTTGTGCTCTCTGGGTGCACATCCTCAAGCTCGGCCTAATAAACCTTGTTTGATTGAGATTCCCATCTTGGGTCTCTCATTTGGGTTGACACACCTACTATGAGACTGGAATCTTAGATGCTGAGCTTACAAAGATGATAAAGATGAGTGAATTCCTCAGTTATTTTTATTTTTAAATGTCTCGAAAACAGGCTTACTGAGATCATTCATGTACCATAAAATTCACTCATTTATATACCATAAGATTCACTCTTGTAATGTGTACAATTCAGTGGCTTTTAGTATACTCAGAGTTTTGCAACCATACCACTATTTAATTTTAGAAGACAAATAACAGTTCCTAATCAGTATTTTAAGTTTTTCTTGATTTTTGGCTTTAATCTCACAGCTTAATTTTCCTCTTCTTTCTCCAGACACACGTTTAAGGGTGAGATTGTATGGGTCTGTTCTCAGCTGTAACTATTAATCAGTTAGAAAGCAGATAGTATTACCTTTCTTCCTTTAAAACATAGTGCCGAGTGATATGATGCCTATGAGAATAGAGGCAAAATTCACAGTTTCAGAGCTGATGGTATCATTTGAACAAATAAGATAGATTGTACTGGAGGAATCATTTAATATTGCACAAATGTGGTACTAGGAAAGCAGTATTCTAAAGAACCACCAGGTTGCTTGAAAAAACAAATGTCCAGTTTAAAATCAACTTATGCCATGCCCACCCACTACTTTGTTAAATATATAGAGTAACTTGGTTTCAGAGACCATTTTGTGTCCTTGGTTTTCCTCTAGAGATTAAGTAGTGTTTTTGTAAAAATTTCATGGGTTTGTAGATTTTTGAAAATACTATCAGTTAATCTCAGGGATCCCCAAATCTCAAAATGGTTAAACACCAATCACTGCTTAACTTGGTTGCTGTAAACAAAGCCCAAAATGAAACCCCTGTGTATTTACTGCAGATTCCCAGGTGCCTCTTAAGTGTGAGGATAAGCTCAGAAAAGGCTTAATAGATGTATTAAGTTGTCATCCATTAAAAGGTTCACATGCTCCTTGTGTGTTGCATAAGGACAGGTGTCTGCCACCTCATTGCATTTCTCACTGAGCATTGCCTAGGAGAGGGTAAGCCCTAGGATTTAGATCCCTCTCAGATCAAAAGTAAGGACAAAAGTAAGGTCAGTCAGGACAAAAGTAAGGTCACGGAGCTATATAAAAATGGATTATGAATCCTAAGACATCAGCCTATTCTCCCCCATGTCTAAGAAGAATATTCCTCAGCTGATGACTGGAATGTCTTGCTAGGGGGTGGTGGGTAAGTTTTGTGGAGGTCCCCACCAGCAGAAAAAAATCATTGAAGAGGAACACTTAATTCACAATGGCTGCTGATTAAAAAGAAAGCCTCTGTATTCACCTATAATCCTAACATCCTTAACAGCTTGCCAGTGTGGTAACTGGCACAAACTATGGCGTCTTGGTCAAATCCAACCTCAGTGAAGGTAGTTCATATCCTAGAGATGAGCTGAATGCTGATAGCTTTGAGGACTTGTTTATTTGGGGGAAGGGAAAGAGATTGTGAGGGTAGAGATAGGAATCTATCTGTCGTAATAGGATTTGGTCTGTGTATTAATGGAATGAACTGGCCTTTTTTGCCCTGCTTCATTTGTCCTTGCTGAGAAGGGAGGCTGAAGTTTCCAAGAGTTATGGATGAAGTTGTAGAGTATTAGAGAAACTGTTCTCTGACCTTCTTGATGGTAATGCAAGCTGTTGGGTGAGTTTGGAGAAGAGCACAGGGTGGTGTGAGGACGAGGTTCGTATTACATTGTGCCTTAAAACAGGAATATACATATTAAAACAATAACTGCTACTCTGCTTTCTTGTTTCTGCAATCTTCTGTCATTTGACATTGTTTTTTCCAAAGCAACGTGCAACCATTTTCTTCAGGATTTTCTTTTCAGTTATCATATGGGTTTGTTGTTGGATTGAGAAAAAAAAATCTGCCTCATTTGAGCAGGCCTCTCTAGACGTTTTCTTACGACTGTGTAGAGGGTACTTTCTCATTTTTCTTCCTCTCAAAGCATCAGATTCCCAAGCATTTAACTAAAATTATTATCAACTAAAAATGTTTCTTTTGAACAATTCTTAGAGGTAACTGTTTAGACTTAATTATTGAAATGCATCAAGGCCTTCTGCCTTGCCCCCATGTCACTCTTTGGCCTGCCTCTCTCACCAACAAAAACATTGCAGAGGAACAGTTATATTAACAACAGCCTGTTTGAAAGGGAAGCTTCAATTTTTAAGCTAATTATTTGCTAATAAAAGTTTTAAAAATACTTTCTTTTAAAAGTTGTAAAACTTTTGTCTATATTTCAAAACCCCTCAATACCAAAAAAAGACATATAAAAAGCCTGGATATTTGGTTACTTCTGAATCATTTTCATTAATACTTGCTATATTATACTAACCAGAATTGGAATGGAATGGGATCAGATGAGATAATCCAAAGACAAATACAGCCATATGTCACACAAGGACTTTTTGGTCAACCATAGACTGCATATATGATGTTGGTCCCAAAAGATTATAATACCATTTTTTTTGTACGTTTTCTGTATTTAGATGCACAGATTCTTACCATTGTATTACAGTTGCCTACAGCATTCAGTACAGTCACATGCTGTATAAGTTTATTGCCTAGGAACAGTAGGCTATCCCATATAGCCTAGGGGTATTGTGGGCTATTGCCATCTTGGTTTGTGTGAGGATGCTGATGTTTGCACCAGGATGCCCAATGATGCATTTCTCAGAATGTATCCCCATTGTTAATCAACACATGACTGTACTGAAGCTTTAGGTTTAGTCATCTAAGTTTATGTCTAAAACAACTTTAAAAAGATACTGTTCTGTGGTTATAACTCCTAAAACTATGGAATCGAAAGTGTTATTAATAATTTTCTTGGCCAGGCACGGTGGCTCACGCCTGTAATCCCAGCACTTTGGGAGGCCGAGGCAGGCGGATTACGAGGTCAGGAGATTGAGACCATCCTGGTTAACACGGTGAAACCCTGTCTCTACTAAAAATACAAAAAGTTAGCCGGGTGTGGTGGTGGGCGCCTGTAGTCAGTCCCAGCTGCTGGGGAGGCTGAGGCAGGAGAATCACTTGAACTCGGGAGGCGGAGCTTGCAGTGAGCCGAGATCGCACCACCGCACTCCAGTCTGGGCGACAGAGCGAGACTCTCTCAAAAAAAAAAAAAAAAAAAAAAATTTTTTTTTTCTTTTATTGTTGCTTTATGTGATAATTTATGTTAGACCCTCATACATACAAACATCCTCTGGACTTGTCCATTGGAGTTTAGTTTCTATATTCATTGCCTTTTCATCACGTCTCTTAGTCCAGATGTTCTGGTGAGCTGGCCCTTGATTTGGATATTCCAAATTACTTTTCCTAAGGTACAGATTTACTGCCAGCTACATATTTGCATCCAGCTCCAGAGCTATTTTCTTCATTCCTTCCTTGATGTTGAGATTTTTTTTTTTTTTAACAGAAGGACTGCAATTTATTTCACTCTGCACCTCTGGGACATTTGCCTCCCACTTTTACTACTCTCAGCACAAAGCCTCATAGAAGAGGTCCACAAACCTCTAACAACTAAGGGGCAGATCAGCGGTCAGACAACATGAGCTCGTTCTTTTTTTGTCTTAATGATACATGGAATTATTATTATTATTATTCTAACCTTGGATTTTTGTGAATTTTACATCTTCCTTTCAGCAGTTTCAATTCAGGGCCAAGCTTGACCCTGTTGCTTAGAACTTCCCATTTATCACAGAAGAAATCCCCTCTGAATTCCCATTAGGCAAAGTAGTATGGGCTATGCATAGTGAGCTAGTTGTGTACTTAGTATCAAATAGTGTTCATGGTAAATGCTCAAAACTTCCCCAGAGGGGAATCACGTTAATGCAAAGATGCAAAATAAAAAGGTGTGTCTTAAGTTTAAGGATACATCCTTGATTGTGTACAGCTTCATTATTTTACAGGATTGTTTGTGGCATTTCTTACTTAAAAACCTGATTTTAAAAAATGCTCCTGTTCCCCATTTTTAGAGTGCGTGTTTGCTAGGTGAGGTAAGAGGTAGTAGAGTCCTCCTTAAGTAACTAAACTTTTCTTTGTGTTTTATACATTTGCCATGATAGTGCCAAGAATGGAGGTAGATCCAGGAGGTCTTCCCCTGAGCTGCCTGCCTGTCTTGGTCATATAATACCAAGTTGCTTGGGGGTGGGGTGGAGCAGAGAGAACTCTTTAATGGTTCCTTGTTACAGCCCTCAACAAAGATGTGTCAATTCCCTTGGCTTTACAGACTATTGCCCAGAAGAAAAGATGTTTGGTTTTCACAAGCCAAAGATGTACCGAAGTATAGAGGGCTGCTGTATTTGCAGAGCTAAGTCCTCCAGTTCTCGATTCACTGACAGTAAACGCTATGAAAAGGACTTCCAGAGCTGTTTTGGGTAAGATCACCTGATGTTTTTACTATTCTTAGAGTGAAAAAATACCACAGCATACAGAAATATTTGTAAGCAAGGTGATTGGAACAATGTGCTAATAATAAAAATCACTTATTCTAATTTAGGCTGTTTAAGTCTCCTGCTTTTTAAAGGAATCAAACAACGCTGACAGCCTACTTTTTTCCAGATTATGAGGAGCTACCACATTAATTGTGAAGCCCCTTACAGTTGTAGCTAGACAAACCCTTTTGTTGTTGACTTCCTTTTGTGGTTAATTTTTAAAAAGGCTTTTAAAAAAATTACTGTTGACTGGGTGCAGCGGCTCACACCAGTAATCTGAGAGCACTTTGGGAGGCCGAGGCAGGCGGATCACGAGGTCAAGAGATCGAGACCATCCTGGCCAACATGACCCTGCCTCTACTAAAAATACAAAAATAAGCTGGGCGTGGTGGCGCACACTTATAGTCCCAGTTACTTAGGATGCTGAGGCAGGAGAATCGCTTGAACCCAGGAGGCGGAGGTTGTAGTGAGCCGAGATCATGCCGCTGCACTCCCGCCTGGCGACAGAGCGAGACTCCATCTCAAAAAAAAAAAAAAAAAAAATTTCCCTTGACAGGGTGCAGTGGCTCACGCCAGTAATCCCAGCACTTTGGGAGGCTGAGGCAGGTCGGTCACTTGAACCAGGAGCTTGAGACTACCTGGGTAACATGGCGAAACCCATCTCTATAAAAAATACAAACAAAAAAACTTGCTGGACGTGGAGGTGCTTGCCTGTAGTCCTAGCTACGTCGGAGGCTGAAGTGAGAGGATCACCTGAGCCTGGGAGGTTGAGGAAATGAAGATACTAAAATAAAAATAAAATTTAAAAAGGAATGGTTGGCACAGACCTTTTTGACAACCTTCAGAATAATTACAAAGTCCAGGATTAACAATAAATGATGAACAAATGTTTCGATAAGAAAAGGTGGTGAAAGTAATTTCTAACAGGGGAAATCATTATTTCTTTCTTTTCTTTTTTAAAGAGACAATGTCTTCCTGTGTTGCCTAGGTTGGAGTGCAGTAACTGTTCACAGGTGTGATCATTGTGCATTACAGCCTTGAACTTTTGGGCTCAAGTGATCCTCCTGTCTGAGCCTCTCGAGTAGCTGGGACTACAGGTGTGCACCAGCAATATAATTGTTTGTTTGTTTGTTTAAGTCAGAATCTCACTCTGTCACCCAGGCAGAAGTACAGTATCACTATCATGGCTCACTGCAGCCTTGACCTCATTGGCCTCAGGTGATTCTCCCACCTCATTCTCCTGAGTAGCTAGGACTACAGGCATGCACTATCATACCCTGCTAATTTTTCTTATTTTTTTGTAGAGACAGGATTTTGCGATGTTGCCCAGGCTGGTCTCGAACTCCCGGCTGCCTCGGCCTCCTAAAGTGCTGGGATTACAGACATAAGCCATCTCGTCTGGCCATTTTCATTTTTTAAAACTACAATCCTTCTCTGGTTTTGTTTGCTGTGAAACTAGAATATTATGACACATTATTTTACTTGCCAAAGGGTAGCATTTTGATACTTATGAAATAACTACACAGGCCGGGTGCGGTGGCTCACACCTGTAATCCCAGCACTTTGGGAGGCCAAGGCAGACAGATCATTTGAGCCCAGGGGTTGGAGACAAAGCCTGGGCAACATGGTGAAACCCTGTCTCTACAAAAAATAGAAAAATTAGCCAGACGTGGTGGCATGTGCCTGTGGTCCCAGCTACTAGGGAGGCTGAAGTGGAAGGATCACTTGAACCTGGGAAGTTGAGGCTGTAGTGAGCCATAATCCCACCACTGCATTCCAGCCTGGGTGACAGAGTGAGATCCTATTCACCTCCACGCCCTCACCAAAAAAGAAATATATCTACACATTGCAAGAAAGATTGATTAAACAGCATTATTTAAAACCATGATAATCAGAATCTCTTTTAGGTCTTGAGTTTTACTCCTTAATTTTAAAAGCATTTTTAAATTAAATTTCTTTTTTTTTTATTTTAAAGTAGAGATGGGGGTCTCCTTTTGTTGCCCAGGCTGGTCTCGAACTCCTGCACTCAGGTGATCTTCCCACCTTGGTCTTCCGACGTGCTGGGATTACAGGTGTGAGCCACCGCACCAGCCTATTTAATTATTTAATTTTTTTTTTTTTTTTGAGATGGAGTCTCACTCTTGTTGCCCAGGCTGGAGTGCAGTAGTGCGATCTTGGCTCACTGCAACCTCTGCTTCCTGGATTCAAGCGATTCTCCTGCCTAAACCTCCTGAGTAGCTGGGACTACAGGTGTGTGCCAGCAGGCTAATTTTTGTATTTTTAGGAGAGACACAGGATTTCATCATGTTGGCCAGGCTGGTCTCGAACTCCTGACCTCAAGTGATGCACCCGCCTCAGACTCTCAAAGTGCTGGGATTGCTGGCGTGAGCCACCACACCCAGCCTGGCCTATTTAATTTTAAAAGCATTTCTTATTTCAAAATAACCAAATTGCAGTACGTAGAATTGGTTTGTTGAATCTAGAAGATAATTTTATTTCTGAAATATTCTATAGAAACAATGGAATGGGATCATCCAGGATGATTAAATTGTATCTATAAACCATATATAGATACAGTTTTTTTCCCAAAGGAAATGTGCTTGCTTGAATTCTTTAAGGTAAGGGAGACTGATAAAGGTTTGATTGTTTTCTTATCAGATTGCATGAGACTCGTTCAGGAGACATCTGCAATGCCTGTGTCCTGCTTGTGAAAAGATGGAAGAAGTTGCCAGCAGGATCAAAAAAAAACTGGAATCATGTTAGTCCATTTTCTTTTTTTCAATTATACCTCTATTATATTTAAAGTAACATTAATTTCCCCCTAATTTAGGAAGTAATATATCCCTAGGGTAGAAAAGTCTGAAAAGAATAAAGAAAAACACTAGCTGCTGCTCAGATATAATTGCCTAACATTTTGGCATCTTTAGAACAGAATAGCCTGGTATGGCATTTCCTTAAGACTGTATCCAATATCTCCCTTTTGGAGATTCACAGTAAGCATTCACCTATTTTTAGGCTTAACTCAGTAATTCCTAGAGTTAATTAGATGTGAATCCTTTTTCTTAAATCTCTTTGGATAACATCATCCTTTGAACTCAGGTTGGTACTAATGAGCACATAGATTTTAGGATCAGACTTGAATTTGAATTTTGCTTTTACCACTACTAGTTGTGGACTTTGGGCAGGTTACATTTATTTATGAAGTGCAAAGATAATAGCTCTGTTACAGAGCAGCTGTGAGAACTGGATGAGATGATATGTAGAAGGTATAACACATAGTTATCATTCACACTAGCCTTACATTGTCCTTTGATAACAGTGTTATGCTATTATAATAGGTCATGATTTTGAAGATGGTAACAACGTTCCTTTTTACATGGGGTAGAAATCTGCAACTAATAAATGTGAATGAATACCTAAGAAACAGGGCCATATGGGGCGAGATCAATGGCTGGGCTAGACTGTGGGAGAACATGCTATTGCTGTCATATAACTCACCTCAGAGATTAAGGTGTGTAGTGAAAAAAGCATAAAGACCTGAAGACCTTGATTCCAGTCTTTTCCCCTCTCCACCCCTCTTAACCCATTTACTTGCTTGGTAAAATAAGGCAAAATGCATAATTTCTCTTTGCCTTGTTTTCCTTCCGTCTAAAATTGGAGTAACAAAAATAGCCCTGTTTATTGCTTTGTATTGAAGATAAAAAGTATTTGAAAGCTTTTCATAAACTGCAAAACATTATCCTGTAGAAATGGAGTTGTTTTTAGGTTTGATTCTTAACCTAGTTGGGTCATCCAGTAACGATTATCCCATATACAAATCTATTTAAATTTTTTTCCAACAGACTCCCACTATTACCCACTTCACAGGAAAGAGTATCTTAAAAAACCCCACTAGATAAATATTATTTATTCCCTTATGTCATGTGATGATTAAAGGTGCACATGGAGGAGTTTCACCCTCTTTTCAGTGTAAAACTGTGGTTCTCAAATAGGCACGGATCTGTACCAAAGGGATACACTAGTATCATTTTAAAAATATTATTAAATATTCAGTATTTTCTTCCAGGTGGTAGATGCAAGGGCTGGACCCAGTCTAAAGACTACATTGAAACCAAAGAAAGTGAAAACTCTATCTGGGAACAGGATAAAAAGCAACCAGATCAGTAAACTGCAGAAGGAATTTAAACGTCATAGTAAGTTTGATATTACAACATTAGTACTTAATAATTGTTCTGTTATTTTTGGCTGGGGGTGGTGTATGGCATGTGTGGATCATTTTTTCCTTTATTGCTTTTCATAAAGAGCACTGGAAGGCAATATTGACTTGGTAGAGATGTTACCTTATTTCTGTGAAATCTTAGCACTCTTTCTGATGATGATGTCTTGAGAGTATTTCTACTAGCTAACCACTTCAGATTGTACTGAGACCACTCTGATGTCTTTACTGACATCTTAATTTTCTAGGAGGTGCATTTCTAGCTCGTTTACTTGATTTTTATCCATAAGGAAATTGAGTCCTGCAGATGTGCAAGAAGGTACGTAAATAATTAGGGGACAATCTGAGACCAAAGCTCAGGTTTTCTGGAAAGTAACTTTAGAAATCATAGCTCACATTTTGAAATACAGCCAACCTCAGGGCTTGCTTTCAGGTTTAAGGGGCAGTGTGTTGTGTTGATAGAGTAAGAAAGGAATGTCTAATGTCAGGTCACATGCTGTTATTGGAAGTTTTGGGGGATTGCTGTAGTGGCACGTCTGTATTTTGGAATTTAGATTTTAGATTTTGAAAAGGAAATACACTGCATATAATGTTATTGTCTAATAAATATCTCTATTACCCTTGGGGTTTGAAGGAGCATTATTGAACCAAACACATTAGTATTTTTACAGCAAAAAGTAGCAGTATTCACATTTAGTGGAATAAATAGATGGTACATAGGCTAGTCAGGTTTGTTTGCTTATAATCATAGTGTAGGTCATGTCAGATTTTGTGGCCAGATAGGTTAGGAATACACTTTGTGTTTCCAGAGCTTTCCCAGAATTGCCGCTAGGGGTTGTGGACCTGTATTGTAGCTCTCAGTACTTATAAAAATCTATAGGGCCCTGTTAGAGAAAACATTATCAATCAAGACAAATGGTTATCATGCTTATTTTAGAATAATGGAAAAAGACATTTAAGTTTAGTGACAGTAAAGTGAGGAGTGCAGGAGAACTCACATTTTTTGAGCATTTTGGTATACTAAGCACTTTACGTATGTAATGATCTCACTTATTTCCATTTTAGAGCTCAGAATAGGAAGCACGAAGGGGTGATTTAACCTTGATCTGGGCCACTTAATAAGTGGTAGAGATGTAGTAATATATTTAGGTAATATAAATGTGTATATGTATTTTAATTATACATTTCCCTTTCCTAACCAGCTCTCAACCCCGCATCTCCCTAAAGATTTAACACTACCTTCCTTTCTCACTAGATGTTTTGTTTTATTTTATTTTATTTTATTTTATTTTATTTTATTTTATTTATTTATTTATTTATTTATTTATTTATTTATTTATTTATTTGAAACAGGGTCTTGCTCTATCACCCAGGCTGGAGTACAGTGGTGTGATCTTGGATCACTGCAGCCTCTGTCTCTCGGGTACAAGCAATTTTTGTGCATAAGCCTCCCGAGTAGCTGGGACTACAGACATGCGCCACCGTGCCTGGCTAATTTTTTGTATTTTTAGTAGAGCTGGGGTTTTGCCATGTTGCCCAGGCTGGTCTCAAACTTAGCTCAAGCAATCCACCCACCTCGGCTTCCCAAAAGTGCTAGGATTACATGCATGAACCATCATACCCGGTCCTCACTAGATGTTTTAATGAACATTTGGGAAACACTAATTTTCTTTTATCACTTGAAGGCGGAGGAACTGATTATTCATATGTATATTCTTAGCCCTTTCCCTTAATTATAGGGAAAGTGATATCTCACTTTTGCCTTACTTAAGGGAATATATTCAGTGCAATTTTAGATTTTTATTGTGAAACTGTGCTGTGTAGTAGTTGGAGACTGAAAATAAATTCCTTTTATAATAAGGTGTGTGGATTGTGGAGGCTCAAACTGAAACAAGGTGTTCACCAGGTACATTATAAATTGCTAGCACCTTTGTGCATTGAAGCAGTTGGGAGACATGTGCATTTTTATATATCACCCACTAAAGGGTCTGCGCTTCTGGTTATGTGTTTGCTTCTGTGCATCCTGCACATACCTGGCCTGTATTCTCTTATCTTTCGTTCTTTTTTTTTTTGAGATGGAGTCTTATTCTGTCACCCAGGCTGGAGTGCAGTGCCGCTATCTCAGCTCATGGCACTATCTCAGCTCACTGCAACTTCTGCCTCCTGGGTTCAAGTGATTGTCCTGCCTCAGCCTCCTGAGTAGCTGGGATTACAGGCACCTGCCACCATGCCCAGCTAATTTTTGTATTTTTAGTAGGTACAGGGTTTTGCCATGTTGGCCATGCTGGTCTTGACCTCCTGACCTCAGGTGATCTGCCCTGCTTGGCCTCCCAAAGTCCTGGGATTACAGGCCTGAGCCACCGTGCCCAGCCCTGTATTCTCTTTTCGAGACATTTTGTGGTGTACTGGAAAGGCATTGGACCTAGAGTTACAGATCTGGATTTGAATTTTGGCTCTTCTCACTAGCAGATGTGTGATTCTGGAGTCACTTGACGTTTAACCGTAATTTTCTAATCAGAGAACTGGGGATAATCAAATAAAAAATGGCTTTGTAAAACAAAATAAATTCCTCTATAAATGTTAGGTATTCTTTTTGTGTCATCCTTTCCAAAATCTGCAGTGATTTCTGCTTGCTGTAAAATACAGTTGAGAATTCCTAGAAAGTGTTTGAAGGTCCTATTTTTGTTTGAGCGAGTCCTGGAGTGTGTTTGGCTTCCACAACTTTGCTTGTTGACTTTGCCTGTTGTCCCTACCGACTTGATGCCATCTAATCACTCCTTGGTGCCTTCCAAATCCTACGTAATTTTTAAGACTTAAAATTGCAGTTTGGGCCAGGTGTGGAGGCTCACACCTGTAATCCCAGCACTTTGGGAGGTCAAAGCAGGAGGATCACCTGAGGTTGGGGGTTCAAGACCAGCCTGACCAACATGGAGAAACCACGTGTCTACTAAAAATACAGTATTAGCTGGGCGTGGTGGTGCATGCCTGTAATCCCAGCTATTGGGGAGGCTGAGGCAGGAGAATTGCTTGAACGCGGGAGGCAGAGGTTGTGGTTAGCCGAGATCACCTCATTGCACTATAGCCTGGGCAATAAGAGTGAAACTCCGTCTCCCAAAACAAAACAAAAAATGGTCAGATAATTGAAATTTCAAATAGTTTAAAGCTATTAAGTACTTCCTAGGGGAGTGAGTTTTCCTCAGCAGCATAGAGGTGTCTGTTGATGTTAGTTATTTAGGAAGTCTTAAACATCCCACTAGACTCATTCTTTTAAAGCCTGCTACTCTTGAGGATTTTGTTTGTTGCTAAGTTAACATATTAAAAATACTAACGGTGCTTTCTTTGTTTTAGATACCTAATTTTATGCTGTTTTATGTAAATTTTTGTTAATATAAAATATTTGTGAGCTCTATTCAGAAAACATTTTCTTGACTGGGTGTGGTGGCTCACACCTGTAATCCCAGCACTTTGGGAGGCCAGGAGTTCAAGACCAGCCTGGCGAACATGGTGAAATCCTGTCTACTAAAAATACAAAAAAATTAGTTGGGTGTGGTGGTGCACACCTGTAGTTGTAGCTACTCAAAAGGCTGAGGCATGAAAATCTAAGAGGTGGAGGCTGCAGTGAGCTGAAATCGTGCCACTGCACTCCTGCCTGGGTGACAGAGTGAGACTCTGTTTTAAACAAACAAACAAAAACAAACAAATTTTCTTGGCTAGGTGTGGTGACTCATGCCTGTAATCCCAGCACTTTGGGAGGCTGAGGTGGGAGGACTGCTTGAGGCTAGGAGTTCAAGACCAGTCTGGGCAAATAATGAGACCTTGTCTCTACTAAAAATTAAAAAAAATAACTAGCTGAGTATGGTGGTGTGTGCCTGTAGCCCCAGCTACTCAGGAGACTGAGACAGGAGGATTGCTTGAGCTCAGGAGGTTGAGGCTGCAGCAAGCTGTGGTCATGCCACTGCACTCCAGCCTGGGTGACAGTGAGATCCGGTCTCAAGGAAAACCAAAAGATAAAAATTAAAAAAAATCCAAAGTTTTCTTTAGTCTGTTTCTTTCCATGCAGCATAAAACATAGGATTTGATGTCTTATAAATATTTAATAAGTACTTGATTGGTTATCTGAATTGAAGGATTGCTCTGTCCATGTGTCCTGGGACGGACAAGGTGTATGGTCGGCCCTACCTGTGTTTATGAGGTTTATGATACTGCTCTTACTGTGACGTGGCAGTACAACAGCCTTATAGCACAATGACTGTTAACCAAGAAACTTATTTTCTGACTTGTACATTTATATGACATCTTCTTCATGTAAACAGGCAAAGTATTAAATCAGCGTTAGCTCTGCATCTAATGAACTGCTTTTTTTCCTTATTAAATCAGGATCTTTTGTTTTCCCTTTATAGGTATAATGTCATTATTCTTTGGCTGCTTTCAAGATTTTTCTCTTGGGTTAGTTTATAGAGGTTTAATTATGATGTGTTTTGGCATGGATTTCTTTGGGTTTATTCTGTTTGGGCTTTGGTCAGCTTCCTGAATCTTAGGTTTATGTCTCACCAAATTTGACAAGTTTTCAGCCACATTATTTGAGTACTTTTTCGCCTCTATTCTGTTTTTCCTCTCCCTCCAGGACTGCACTGACATGAATGTAGATGTGTGTTTGACTAAGCCCCACAGGTTTCTCATGCTCTGTTCATTTGTTTTCTGTGTTGTTCATACTGGGTAATTTCTGTTGTTCTTTCTTCTATTTCACTGTTTGCTTTCTGCCTCCCCTCCATGTTGCTCAGCCCATCCACTGTGGTTTTTATTTTCTTTATTGTATTTTTTTCAGTTACAAATTTTCCATTTATTTTGTCCTTATAGTTTTCTATCTTATTTTTACTGAGGCTTCCTGTTTCTTTGCCAAGGCTGTGTTTTCATTTATTTCAAACATGTTCATAATTGCTCACTGAAGCATTTTTGTCATGGCTGCTTTAAAATCTTGGTCAGATAATTCTGATGTCTTTGTCATCTTAATGTTGGCCTTTTCATTTAGTTTGAGATCTTCCTGATTCTTGGACTGATGTAATTTTTCTATTGAAACCAGGACATTTTCAGATTATGTTGTGAGACTCTGGGTCTTATTTAACCCTTCTGTTTTAACTGGCTTTTTTGACACCCCCTCAGAGCAGGGAAAGAGGGAGGGGCGTAACCACCCTGTTACCGCCAGGTGTTAGAATTCTGGTTTCTCTCTCATCCTCCGTTGACCTCTGAGATTGGGGGGAGGGGAGGCTCCTCGTTACTACTGGGTGTCAGGAGAGTTCAGGCTCCCACTTGGTGAGGGTGGCCTTGTAGTTAGTGGGCCATAACGAAAATCCTGACTCAGCTAGGCTTCCTGTGACACCACCCTGGTGTAGGTGTCGGGGTGCTTCCAAGTCTTGTGAGGGTGGAAATATAGGCTCTTCACCTCAGCCTCTGCTGGGCTTAGGAAAGGTGTCCACAGTTTTTTCTGTGGGTTTGGCTGGAATAGGAAGGTTATTGTGTAGAAACGTTTTCTGTCTGGCTAGGCTGCCCTTTTCCTAGTTCTTTGCTAGAGAGATCAGGCTTTAACTGGGGTTTTGGATTTTTGTTTTGTTTTTGTTTTGATTGTCTGTACCCATTGGCATTTCTGGGTGGCTACTGTGTCACTTCCAAAGCTGGGGATTATGAGGCAAAAGGAAAATCCAGAAAAACTAAGGAACCCACCACCATGGCTTGCCTTGGGTCTTGAGCTCCCTAGATGGTCGTCACCTTTTGGAGTCTTAGGTTTGTTTTATATATAATATCCTGGGATTTTAGTTGTATAAGCAGGAGGAATAGGAAAGGGTATGTCTATTCCATCTTCTTCACTTTTAAAAAAAACATGTTAGTGTGAATATCTTCAAATACCAGTAGTGGATAGAAAATGAATTTTTTTTACTTTTTCTTTTTTACCAACTGATTCACAGTGTCCTATGCTGAGGTTTAGTTGCAATTACATGTAATGAAATTGAAAATTTTATTTTTTCTTTTAATCTTTATTGCAGATTCTGATGCTCACAGTACCACCTCAAGTGCCTCCCCAGCTCAATCTCCTTGTTACAGTAACCAGTCCGATGACGGCTCAGATACAGAGATGGCTTCTGGTTCTAACAGAACACCAGTTTTTTCCTTTTTAGATCTCACATACTGGAAAAGGTAAAAGAAACAGAAAATATCTCTCTAACCAGCAAACCATCTTAATTACAGGCAGTGTTTTCCTACTTTCTTAGCAATTAAATGGCATTTGGCAAACAGTTGGTAACACACGATTGCAGTGGATTAAGCAGGAATTGAGCAGAGAAGTGGGATTTTGTATGTTCTTCCTATTAAAATTTATTTAAAATAAAAATCACATCAAGGTACCTACATTTCCTATTGCTAGATAAGTGGAGTAGAAAGACAATATGCAGTGGAGAGAATCAGTGAAACTAAAAGTTGGTCCTTCAAAAAAACGTGACCAAAAAAGTACTAGAGATAAAGTGGATCAGGAAAAGGAGATGATGATACACATAAGCAATTTTAGGAGAGAGAAAAGAGACTTAGGTATAGATAAAGCAGACATTTAAAAAATAGGATATTATAGACAACTTTATGCCAATAAATTTGAACATACAGGTGAAGCGGGTACAGTACTAGAAAAAAGGCATCTTGCTAAAGCTGTCTCAAGAAAAAGTGAAAAAACGAGATAATCTCATAATAAATTGATTCGGGCCAGGCGTGGTGGCTCACACCTGTAATCTTAGCATTTTGGGAGGCCAAGGTGAGGGGATTGCTTGAGCCTAGGAGGTTAGGGTTGCAGTAAACTATTACTGCACCACTGCACTTCAGCCTAGTGACAAAGCAAGACTATTTCAAAAAAAAAAAAAAAAGCCACAATATGCAAGTTGTACTAAACATCCAGGAACAGATGATTGGGGCCTATGCACTGGCTTTTCCAGACTGTGGATAAAATAGGGCATAGGCCCCAAGCATTTTTAAGGCTGATATAAATTTGATACCAAAACAATACATCATCTACCACTAGGGTTATTCTAGGTATGTAAGATTGGTTTTTGAACATGAGAAGATCAACTAATATAATTTACCACATCAGCAGTTTCTTTCTTTCCTTCTTTCCTTCTTTCCTTCTTTCCTTCCTTCCTTCCTTCCTTCCTTCCTTCCTTCCTTCCTTCCTTCCTTCCTTCCTTCCTTCCTTCCTTCCTTCCTTCCATCCTTTCTTTCCCTCCCTTCCTTCCTTCCTTCCTTCCTTCCTTCCTTCCTTCCTTCCTTCCTTCCGTCCTTCCGTCCTTCCGTCCTTCCTTCCTTTTTGAGATGGAGTTTCGCTCTTGTTGCCCAGGCTGGAGTGCAATGGCACGATTTCGGCTCACTGCAACCTCTGCCTCCCGGGTTCAAGCGATTCTCCTGCCTCAGCCTCCCAAGTAGCTGGGATTACAGGCGCACGCCACCATGCCTGGCTAAATTTTTGTATTTTTAGTAGAAAAGGGGTTTCATTGTTGGTCAGGCTGGTCTCGAACTCCGTACCTTAGGTGATCCACCCGTCTCAGCCTCCCAAAGTGTTGGGATTACAGGCGTGAGCCACCGTGCCCAGCCCACATTGATAGGTTCTAAAGAAAGGTATTGTCTTCTTAGTGGTGCAAAGAAGGAGTTTGACGAATTTGAACTTTCCTTTAAGGTTTAAAACAAAACTTCTAGCAAAATAGGAATAGAAGGAAACTTTTTTACTTAGACAACAGGAATCTTACAAAAAGTACCAAAGTACATAATACATAACTGTGATAAAAAGAAAGCATTTTCTCTATGATCAGGAACAAATCAAGAGTGTTGACTATCACCATTTCTATTCAGCATTATACAGAATGTTCTAACCAATACAATATTGGTAGTAGCAGTGATAGTGGTAGTACCAGTAGTAGTAAACGCTTTAGAACAGTGCCTAGCGCATAGTATGAGTACTTTATAGATGGTTTAAATATATGCATTTATTTAATCTTTTTTTTTTTTGAGAGTTTCACTCTGTAGCCCAGACTGGAGTACAGTGGTGTTATTTTGGCTCACTGCAATATCTGCCTCCTGGGTTCAAGCGATTCTGCCATTTCAGCCGCCCAAATAGCTGGGTCTACAGGCATGCACCACCATGTCTGGCTAACTTTTGTATTTTAGTAGAGATGGGTTTCGCCATATTGGCCAGGCTGGTCTTGAACTTCTGGCCTCAAGTGATCTGCCTGCCTTGGCCTCCCAAAGTGCTGGGATTACAGGTGTGAGATACTGCACCTGGCCTTACTTAGTCTTTACAACAGTTCTGTGAAGCATTATGTGAAAACAGAGGTACAAAGAGGAAGGAAGTACTTTGTTTAAGGTTACACAATAAGTAGAGCAGGATTTAAATCTAGGCAGTTTGGCATTAGAATGATACATTTTACCCTAGTGTTAGGAAATATAAAATAATGTAGTAGTAAAATATCAAAAACCCTTTGGAGGAGTTATGTAAAAATCATACAATATTGTTGAAGAACATTCATATATATATATATATGTATGTGTGTGTGTATATATATGTGTGTGTATATATATATACACAGAGAGAGAGAGAGAGAGAGTGAGTCTCGCTCTGTCACCCTAGGCTGGAGTGCAGTGGTGCAATCTTGGCTCACCGCAACCTCCACCTCCTGGGTTCAAGCAGTTTTCCTGTCTCAGCCTCCGGAGTAGCTGGGATTACAGGCGTGCACCACCACACCCTGCTGATTTTTGTATTTTTAGTAGAGATGAGGTTTCACCATGTTGGCCAGGCTGATAGTGAACTCCTGACCTCAGGTGATCTGTCCGTCTTGGCCTCCCAAAGTGCTGGGATTATAGGCATGAACCACTGTGCCTGGCCATTGAATAACATTTAAAGACAGCTAAATAAATTGAGAGGTATAGCACATTCATAGATATTATTAAACTGACTGTTAGGGAGATTATCACTTTGTAGATTCAGGGTAATTGCAGTCAAAACCCCAACATATTTATGGAACTTGACAAGCTAATTTATAATTTATATAGAAAAGCAAAAGGCCCAAAATAGGCGTCTTCAGAAGAAAAAGAAAGATGTCGATAAACTTTCCCTAACAGAAATCAAGACGTTATAAAGCCATAGTAATTAATGTGTTTTGGGACTAGGAATAGAAAAATAAACCAGTGGAATAGTATAGAGAGCCTGGAAACAAGCCCACATATGTATATAGCACTTGTTATGTGATACATGATGTGGGGGTGATTGATGGGCGAAAATGGTCTGTTCAATAAGTGTTGCTAGGATATTAAAAACAACATGGTTATTCATGGGAAAAAACTGGGCTTGGTTCCCTACCTCACACCGTAGACAAATACCAATTACAGATGCATTAAAGTAGAAAATAGAATATGACTTTTGAGTGGAAAAGGATTTTTTATGACAAAGTACTAAGCATTTAAAAAAACTTCCAGGTTTGATTACATTATAATTATGAACTTAAATTCATCAAATAACACCATAAAGAAAATGAAATGATATCCAGCACATATATCTGACAAAGGGTTAGTATCTGGAATATACAGACAACTACAATGGAAGAAAAAGATAAATCAACAGAAAAATGGACACACTTAGAAAGGAATCACGAAATAACTCATTAAATGATAATGTGTTCAAACTTTTTGAAAATCAAGGAAATACAAATTAAAATTTCAGTGAGATACGGTTTTACACTCATTAGGTTGGTGAAAAAACTAAAATAAAAAATCTATTACCAAATGTTGGAGAGAGGGTATGGAATGATGAGAACACTGTCAGTTATAGGTGTAAATAGTTATAACCATGTAGATAAATGGCCGTTTTTGAGTAAAGTTGAAGATGTTCCCATTCCTAAATGGTAGCAGTATAAACTAGTAAAAACTTTAGAATGTATCCACTGATTTATATATTAAAATAAGGGTAGCTAAATAAAACTGTGTTATATATTCACAGGGTAGAATATTATACATAAGTCAAAATGAAATAAAGCTCTATAACAGTATGTATGGATCTCAATTAATGTTGACCAAAACATTGCAGAATACATTGTGATTCTGTGTGTGTGTGTGTGTAGTGGATAACTGTGCAGTATGATTAGAGATACCAACATATGGTGAAACCATAAGTATAAAGAAAAGGGAGTGATAAACCTACAATTAAGTGGGGAGAGGATGAGATGAGGTGGGGATGGGACTGGGGAGGGGCCTGCAGGAGGCTTCATAGGAAATGATCTTCTTTCCCTTAGAATATGTGGTCTGTGGGCATTCTTATTGTGATGCCTTTGCTAACACACACACTTTTTTTTTTTTGAGACAGAGTTTTGCTCTGTCTCCCAGGCTGGAGTGCAGTTGTGTGATTTCAGCTCACTGCAACCTCTGCCTCCTGGGTTCAAGTGATTCTCCTGCCTCAGTCTCCCAAGTAGCTGGGACTCCAGGCACGTGCCACCACGCCTGGCTAATTTTTGCATTTTTGGTAGAGATGGAGTTTTGCAATGTCTGCCAGGCTGGTCTCAAACTCCTGACTTCAAGTTATCTGCCCACCTCAGCCTCCCAAACTTCTGGGATTACAGGTGTATTTTTATCTAGTCAGTATTTAATTAAAAATTATCACTCAAGCACTTAGGAATTGATAAAGAAAAAAAAAATATCTAAAATAATTGCTAGCTGCATCAACCTGTTTATGGTGGCTGATTTTTTTTTCAAGAGTTGGTGATTTTGTAGTTAACAACATCAGGGGCAGCCTTTGAAACTGACTGCTGTCTCTCAAAATGCCATCTTCCTCAATATTTGAGAAGATTCCAGTGTGGCCTTTAAGGGACCTGGGTAATTCCCCTTCTCTAGCTAACTGGGGTTACTCTAGGAGCCCTTTCACTTGGAATGTGCAAGATTGTAGAAGCACAACTGTTTGGTTATATTTGAGCAGTTATAATAATAGATTTCTTTTGTATTCCTATTTTTCTTCCTTATTAATGTATCTTGTTCTCCATTTTTTTCTTTTAGACAGAAGATATGTTGTGGGATCATCTATAAAGGCCGTTTTGGGGAAGTCCTCATTGACACACATCTCTTCAAGCCTTGCTGCAGCAATAAGAAAGCAGCTGCCGAGAAGCCAGAGGAGCAGGGGCCAGAGCCTCTGCCCATCTCCACTCAGGAGTGGTGACTGAGGTTTTTATGTAGAAGGGGAACAACAACAACAAAAAAAAAACATCTAAATTTTGAAAAGACCACAAAGCAACAAACTGACCCTCTTTTTTTTTTTTTTTTTTTTTTTTTTTTGGAGATGGAGTTTTGCTCTTGTTGCCTAGGCTGGAGTGCAGTGCCGTGATCTTAGCTCACTGCAACTTCCGCCTCCCGGGTTCAAGTGATTCTCCTGCCTCAGCCTCCCAAGTAACTGGGTTTATAGGTGCCCACCACCAGACCCAGCTAATTTTTTAGTTTTTGTAGAGACGGGGTTTCACCATGTTGGCCAGGCTGGTCTCAAATGACCCTCCTATTTTTAACTTGGATATCTGCTATTCTGCCAAAACACAATTTCTAGAGTAGTTTTGAATGGGTTGATTTCCCCCAGTCCCACAAACTCTGAAGCCAGTGTCTAGCTTACTAAAAAAAGAGTTGTACATAATATTTAAGATGCTGAGTATTTCATAGGAAAGCTGAATGCTGCTGTAAAGTGCTCTTTAAGTCTTTTTTTTTTTTTTTAATCCCCTTCTAATGAATGAAACTAGGGGAATTTCAGGGGACAGAGATGGGATTTGTTGTATGATAAACTGTATGTAGTTTTTAGTCTTTCTGTATTGAGAAGCAGTGGTTGGGGCATTTTTTAAGATGGCTGGCTACTCTTGTTTTCCCTCACGATAATACATTTGTCATAACTCAGTAACATGGACTTGCCCCTAGAGGTAGTTGTTGATAATTCTGAAGTATTAAGGTCTTGCCAAGCTTCTGATGATTCAAACCTGTACTACTGATTATTAAGCAGGACAGACTGAGCTTTATGTTGCAAATACCTTGGAGGAGAAAGTAATTTCTAAATGTACAGAGAGGTAACTTGACTATATATGTTGCATCCTGTGCCTCCCTTCATATTAATATTTGATAAAGATTTTAATTTATGTAAAACTTCTAAAGCAGAATCAAAAGCTCCTCTTTGGGAAATGGCAAGTCTTTAGGACAGGCGAGACCCTGTATGAATAGTACCAAAGCATTACCGCACGGTAGAGAGCACACTCTATTAAAAATGTTAAGCTATCTGAAAAATAAAATGTGCAAGTCTTCAGGATGGCACAAAACAAAGGTTAATGCTTTTTGGGGCACATTTCTTAGAGGGCTTGCTGAGTGTGTAAATATAATTGACTTTTGTTTGTGTTACATGACTTTGATGACCATTGAAAATCTGCACAATTCAGTTTCAGCTCTGGATTACTTCCGTTGACCTTTGTGAAGGTTTTTATCTGTGTAGAATGGGTGTTTGACTTGTTTTAGCCTATTAAGTTTTTATTATTTTCTTTCACTCTGTATTAAAAGTAAAATTTACTAAAAGAAAAGAGGTTTGTGTTCATGTTAAATGGTTTTGGTTTGGCTTCTTTTAGTCAGGCTTTCTGAACATTGAGATATCCTGAACTTAGCACTCTTCAATCCTAAGATCCCCATGAAAAGCCTCTCACTGGAACCCAAACCACAGTGTGCTCTTACTGCCTCTTTTCTGAATAGTCAGCAAAAGCATCGCCAGTTCAGTCTTTTCAGAATGAGGGAGAAGCATTTGCCTGCCTTGTCATAACAAGACTCAGTGCTTATTTTTTAAACTGCATTTTAAAAATTGGGTAGTATAATAATAACAAGGAGTAAGCCACCTTTTATAGGCACCCTGTAGTTTTATAGTTCTTAATCTAAACATTTTATAATTCCTTCTTTTGGAAAAAACCTACATGCTACAAGCCACCATATGCACAGACTATACAGTGAGTTGAGTTGGCTCTCCCACAGTCTTTGAGGTGAATTACAAAAGTCCAGCCATTATCATCCTCCTGAGTTATTTTGAAATGATTTTTTTTTTTTGTACATTTTGGCTGCAGTATTGGTGGTAGAATATACTATAATATGGATCATCTCTACTTCTGTATTTATTTATTTATTACTAGACCTCAACCACAGTCTTCTTTTTCCCCTTCCACCTCTCTTTGCCTGTAGGGTGTACTGTATGTAGTCATGCACTTTGTATTAATATATTAGAAATCTACAGATCTGTTTTGTACTTTTTATACTGTTGGATACTTATAATCAAAACTTTTACTAGGGTATTGAATAAATCTAGTCTTATTAGAAAATAAAAGGAGCTGTTTTGTGGCTTTGTTTGACAGGTCTTCAGTAAGAATAATGTTTTTGGCCTTCACATATACTCAGTTTAAGTGCTTAGTATTAATAACAAGCCATGAAGGGAATAAATTCCTCTGTACTGAGACATAGACTTTCGAATAAAAGACATTTTAACTGATGTGCACAATTATTAATCTAGTGGATAAGATGGATTTAAAAGGAAGAACAAAATGTTCCCAGTACTTTTTACTGTCTGTGGTTTTATTACTGTCTATGGGCATATGGGAAACATAGTTGAGACTTTAGGGAAACTATAAAAGTTGGAAGGGTGGTGGCATCAGGGGCTGGACCCTGGTTCTCAAGTTCCTAGCTCTGCTCTTTGTTAGTCATATGAGTTAAATAATTAATGGGAATATTTACGTCACAGGATTATGAGGAATCCTAAGAGGTGTAATCCATATCAAACTTTTAGAAACCAGTTGTTTTATTACCTGGGAAAGGTAATAAAGGTCCAGACTTTTTATACTACTGTTAGTATTAAATTTGCTTTGGGATAGTCTGGATGATTTGGCTGCCACCTAATACAGTTGCTATGAAATTAACAATGTAACTAAGGAAGTTGACAGTACCTGTATTATCTATTCCTATGTCCTAAATTACCACAAATTTAGTGGCTTAAAACAAATGCGTCTCAGTTTCTGTCTGAGCATGGTGTAGATAGGTCCTTTAGAAAGCTCCTGGTCTCATCTGCATTCTCACCTGGTGATTTGGGAAGAACTCATTCAGCCTCACTTGGCTGGCAGAATTCAGTTCTTGCCACTGCAGGACTGAGTGCCCAGACCTCACTGGTTGTCAGCTGGAGGTTCCCCCTCAGTTCCTTGCCAGCTGGGTGCTCCCTGCATGGCCTTGCTGCTGACTGGACCACTGACATGATTACTATCACTACCACCAAGTGTCGAGAGCCAAGCTGCCAGCAAGAGGGGTCTTCACAGGTCCTGCCCATATCCAAGCGGGAGAGGCTCATGTAAAGGACTGGACACCAAAAGGTGGGGGTGGGGCTAATGGGAAGGCACCTAGAGTTTGTCACAGCATTTTTTTTTAAACTGAATCTCTTTAAATTGGTCCTCTCGCCCTACAATGCAAATGCTTTGTGTAGCAAGTAAAAAGAAAAATGGCTTTCACAATATGAAAAACCCTGGCTGGGCACCGTGGCTTATGCCTGTAATCCCAGCACTTTGGGAGGCCCAGGCGGGTGGATCACTTGAGGTCAGGAGTTCAAGTCCAGCCTGGCCAACATGGGGAAACCCCATCTCTACTACAAACAAAATTAACCAGTCATGTGGCATGTTCCTGTGGTCCCACCCACTCTAGAGGTCGAGTCAGGAGAATTGCTTGAACCTGGGAGGTAGAGGTTGCAGTGAGCCGAGGTCAGGCCACTGCACTCCAATCTGGGTGACAGAGTGAGACTCCATCTCCAAAGAAAAAAAAGAAAGGAAAAGACCTACTGTGGGGCCAGGCACTTTTAAACATTGTTTAACCCTGCAAAGTAAAAAAAGTCTATTTACAGCTAAGTGGAGGTGCCAGGAGGTCATGTAACTTGAATGAAAGAATCTGCTTTTCTTATTTGAAAGCCTTTGTTCTCCAAACTGTCCCCTGTCTACTATAGTAATGCTGTCCTAACCCTCATTGGAAACTATTCCTGGGTCTTTTGCCTCCCTTCTTTCTGAAGGCTGAAATGAGGGGCAAGTTTAACTTTTGCAGATAGTTTGATCTATAAGTTAATCAAATTTTGGTTTTTAATTTTGGTAATGTTCAAAGTATATATTATCTGTCTTTTTGTGGAGAAAACTGCTGGAGACTTAGTGAAACGGTATCTTAAAACAATTCATCAAGGTAGCTGCTCTGCAGTGAACAAATAGAAGGTACCCTGGGAGCCTCTTTTATTCAACGTCCCTAGAACAGTTTCCTAGTGCCCCAGATTTAGCATTGCAGTGGTCAGGCCATCATTTTTGTGTGATGTTCAGTGAACTTGGAAGGGAGGAGAAAGCCAAATTGGATCAAAGATAGATAATTTCACAGGCTCATGTTCTCAAAGAAAGGGATCTGTGGGTTCTGTCTAACAATTTCTCAAGCTGTGGAGTTTGGTTACTCATTGTATTCATGAGAATGCCTTAGGTATCAAATACCTTACACCCTGGTTAGAAACTGCTTGTTTTTGTATGTTGACTAGGGAATCTTAAACTCAGTTGCAAGCTTTAGTGTAAAAGAACTTAGTCATTCAGTTTAGAGAGAGACAAAAGATTTTTTTTTGCCAAAGTCTACTCTTTGTCTGAAAGAGGAAAATGACTTACTCTGTTTTACAGCATTTGTTCTCTAAACTTCTATGGCTTATATTGGCTGACCTGTGGCTCCAGGTATTGGCCTTTTTTGTTTTTGTTTTTGTTTTCGACAGTCTTGCTCTTGTCGCCCAGGCTGGAGTACAATGGCGTGATCTCATCTCCCTGCAACCTCCGCCTCCTGGGTTCAAGCCATCCTTCTGCCTCAGCCTCCCCAGTAGCTAGGATTACAGGCGCCCGCCACCACGCCCAGCTAATTTTATATTTTTATTAGAGATGGGGTTTCACCATGTTGGCCAGGCTGGTCTTGAACTTCTAACCTCAGGTGACCCACCTGCTTTGGCCTCCCAAAGTGCTGGGATTACAGACGTGAGCCACCACGCCCAGCCGGTATCGGCTTTTTGCAAATAAAAGAGAAAGATCGTTTTTGCTTACTTTTATATGTAAATCTCAAAATAATTAAAACTAAAAAAAATCTCAAAATATTTAGTAAGTTCCTGGTAGAGTTAAAATAGAAACCTGAACAATTATACTGTTGTTGTTGGTTTTTTTCCCTTTTTTTTTTTTGAGACAAGAGACTCACTGTGTAGCCCAGGCTGGAGTGCAGTGGCGCAATCTCAGCTCACTGCAACCTCTGCCTCCTGGGTTCAAGTGATTTCCCACCTCAACTTCCGGAGTAGCTGGGATTACAGGCATGTGCCACCATGCCTGGCTAATTTTTGTATTTTTTGGTAGAGACAGGGTTTCACCACATTTGCCAGGCTGGTCTCGAACTCCTGACCTCAAGTGATCTGCTCGCCTCAGCCTCCCAAAGTGCTGGGATTACTGGCATAACCCATGGCCACCATGCCTGGCCATAGTGTTTTTTTTTTTTTAATCTCAAGTAAGTGTATACTTGGCCTCCAATTAACTTTACAAACCTCTTCAATGTTGATCTGTCACTGATGGCTTCTTCATGGGACATTCCAAAGCCTTTATCTTATTTACCCAGCCTCTCCACAGTGCTTAATACGATTGACAGTTTCTTTCTTGAAATACTCTTGGTTGAAAACACAGTTTCCAGCTTTTCCTTGGACCTCAGATGCTCACTGGCCCAGGCAGTGGTAGATACAATATGAAATATGCAGACATCTCCCATATCTGTCTCTAGAGATTTTTATCAGTCCTGCTGGCAGGAAATAGATGGCTTACTGAAATTGGATAATTTCAAAATTTAATAAAGGGACCTTTACAAAGTTGTATGTAGGGTATAGGGAAACCTCAGGGTGAGTACAGTTCTTGGGACTAGTAACATTGGAGTCCTGTTACTACTACTCTTGGGTCTGAAGATTGAGTAGAGGGGGTTGGTTAACGGATACAGGAGACCAACAGGCTATCTAAAAAGAGTGGGGACCTGGAGGAAGCAGTACGAGTAAATATTCTCACTCTCCAGATTGGCCAACTCCATCATTAGTGCCTTCACATCTTCTGTTTGTTTTCTCTGACCCATTTCCCCACCATCCTGTAACTAGGCAACACCTACTTATTTATCCTTCACGTTTAAGCTGAGGCATCACTTGGGGAAGCATTCCAGAATAATTCCTCTTTCTTCCAACACACGTACAAAATAACATGCTACATGGGTTCCAAGAGAGCATGAAGCATGTCTGTTTAGTCACCACTACAGCTCCCAGAGGGGTTGATTAGGATATATTAATAGCAGCGTCACAATAAATATTTATATTGATCACTTGCTTACAACTTGGTATTTTCAGAAATCATGTTCATAGAAGAGTTGAATATATCCCAACTGTCTTGATGAATTTTATTCAAGAATGTTAAAAAATACTTTGAAGAAATTTTAAGTACACCGAAAAGTTGAAAGAATAATAGTATAACTTTCAACTAGAACCACAAATGCAAAATTTTACCATATGTGCTTTATCTAATTTCTTTTGCTGAATCATTTGAAAGTAAATTGTAGCATCATGATACTTCACCCCTGAATACACGTTCATCTAGGAATAAGAATATTCTCCTCCCTAGCCATAATGTCATTGCCGTATCTGAGCTGGTTAATAATAATATCCAATATGATAGATCCGTATGGAATAAATTGTCCCCATCGTCCCAAAGTGTCTTTTAAAACATTTTCTCCTCATCTAGGGTCTAGTCAAGGTTCAGGCATACTTTTGGTTATATCTTTCCTCTTTTAATCTAGAATAGTCCTCTGCTTTTTTCCCCCCATGGCAATGAACATTTTGAAGTGTCCAAGCCAATTGTCTTGTATAATGTCCCCTATCCTGGATTTTTCTGGCTATGTTTCATTATTATTATTATTATTTATATTTTATTTTGAGACAGAATATCCCTCTTTTCCCAGGCTGGAGTGCAGTGGCATGATCATAGCTTACTGTAACCTTGAACTCCTGGGCTCAAGCATTTCTCCTACTTTAGCCTCCTGAGTAGCTGGGAGTACAGGCCTGTGCCACCATGCCTGGCTAACTTCTTTTTTGGTAGGGATGGGGTCTCACTGTGTTGTCCAGACTTGGTTGTTTTCTTAGTGGATTTGGACTTTACTTTTGGCAAGGATATAGCATAGATTGTGTAGTGCCTCTGTTACTGCATCATGTCAAGAAGCACACAATGTCAAGTAGTCCCACTGTTGGTGATGCTAAGATTAATCACTGAGTTAAGATCACCAGATCTTTTTCCATTTTAAAGTATATATCTTTTCTTTTGTAAATGAACAAAATAATCTGTGGGGTAATACTGTGAGACTTCTAAAACAACCTTTCATTGAGCACCTGTGTACAAGGCCCTACTAAGTGTTCTAAGTAGTCCCTTGATGCTTGAGAAATCA